ATATATATATATATATATCTATATATATATATATATACATATATACATATATATATAAATATAGTTGAAATCTGAATTATTAAATTCTCTTTGCATTTTTTTTCTTTTTTAAATATTTCCCAAGCAATGTTTAACAGAGCAAAGAAATTTTCACAGTATGTCGGATAATATTTTTTCTCCTGAAGAAAAAGTCTAAAGTCTTATTTGCTTTTTTTGGCTAAAATAATAGCAGTTTTTAATTTTTCAAACATAATTTTAAGGTCAATTTTATTAGAGGAGACCCACAGAACCATCAAGATTTTGACAGTCTGTTGAAGTCTGTGAGAAACTCACATCTGAGCATTGCATGTCATTCTCCATATGGGGCATCTTTAGGCTGCCAGAAAAGCCTTTTATATAAAGTATTCAGCACATTTCAGCAGTTTGGGACTTTCTCCTTGTGTCCAATTACCAAAATCTGGTTAAATTGCATGTCTGCAGCTCCTTTACAAATATTATTCCCAGGAAAAAACAGGACGGGTTCAATACGTATGTATATATAGCCGTTCACCAGTAGCTTACTATAAATCAGTTACACCAATAATACCGTGTTTACATTCACAGCACCATTTATCTTGCTCTATATGTATTTTTAGTATTGTATATCTTTACTGTAACATGTACTGTAATTTTGACAATGTAACTTTACAACACAGTAACATCCCGCATCACTGTCCTACAGTAAAATACAGTTGATATTACAGTTAAATACTGTGTAATGTATGAAACCGTTAACAGTTTGGGATCCTAATTGTATATTGTTAGTTAAATGAATGCAAGTGAGGTTATTAAGGTTTGACAGTAAAAGCAAAAGCATGACTGATCATATGGTTGTTTTGCAGAATTGGCGAGCACATCGTCCCGCAGCAGTGGCTCTTTAAAATGGGTTCCAGTGCCATTTGAACGGCGGCTAAGAAGCGATTTATGCATCTTTCATTGGACTGATGACTGGGCATATTCTTACTGAGGACAACATGAACAGTGCAGACTTCATCAGCGGCCACACAAGATGACTGTCTGCTGCTGACTGACCAATTGTTCATGCTATGAAAACTGTAAAGATGGAGGCAAATCACTCATTAGGTGTTTGGGAACAGTAACGCTTTTGCCTCTGACAGTAATGAACGTCTCCTTTAGGTTCTGATACTCGACACGAAAGGTTTTGATTGTTTTGTCAAATGAAAATAAACATTTTCGATAAATACTATTACGCTATTGCTCCCTCCGTATTATCATTGATTGTGTTTACGTTCACGTTCTTCATCAGATTGTAATGCATAAGCTGATAATACGCATGGTCGGAGTGCATCGGGAATGTTTTGAGAACATTCATTAAGCTTTATTCATTCATTAAGCAGTCATTTGCTTAACCGTTGTGTAAATGTTATCATGCAATGTTATGAAAATAACACTTATGAAGCATTCTTGTTTGTAAATGGTGTCATGCATCGTTATTAAAAACATTTCTGGAACGTTTTTGCAATGATTTTAGAACATTTAGTAACACTCCTTAAACGTTGTGTGAATGTTATCATGCAATGTTGTTAAAATAACCTTTCTGAAACATTTTTGTAACGTTTTGAAAACATTAGGTAACTCCTTAAATGCTGTGTGAATGTTATCATGCAATGTTAATAAAAACATTTCTGGAACATTCTTATTTTGTTTTCAGAACATTCAGTAACGCTCCTTAAATGTTGTATGAATGTTATCATGCAACGTTATTAAAATATTTTATGAACATACGTATAATGTTTTGAGAACATTCAGTAACGCTCCTTAAATGTTGTGTAAATGTTATCACAGAATGACACTGCTCTCTTAATGTTCTGTAAATGCTATCATGCAATGTTATTAAAAACAAAATTCTGGAATGATCTTGTAATGATTTCAGAACATTCAGTAACGCTTCTTAAATGTTGTGTAAATGTCGTCATGTTATTAAAATACGTTTTTTAAAACAGTCTTGTAATGTTTTAAGAACATTTAGTAACTCATTAAATAATGCGTACATTTTATCACGCAGCGTTATTAAAAATAACATTTCTGGAACATTTTTGTAATGTTTTGAAAACATTCTGTATCTCTTGATAAATACTGTGCAAATGTTATCACGCAATGTTATTAATATAATATTTCTAGAACATTCTTGTAACATTTTGAGAACATTCAGCAATTCTTAATAAATAATGTGTAAATTTTATCATGTAACGTTATTAAAATAACATTTCTGGAACATTCTTGTACCATTGAGAACGTTTGAAAACATTTCTTAAATGTTGTGTAAATGTTATCATGCAACGTTATTAAAATAACCTTTCTGGAACATTCTTGTAACATTATGAGAACGTTTGAAAACACTTCTTAAATGTTGTGTAAATGTTATCATGCAACTTTGTTAAAGCATTTCTGGAACATTTTTTAAATGTTTTGAGAACATTCAGTAACGCTCCTCAAATATGTGAATGTTTTCATGCAACGCTATTAATATATTATTTTTGTAACATTCTTGTAATGTTCGACAATGCTCCTTAAACATTGTGTAAATGTTATCATGCAACGTTATTAAAATAACATTTCTGGAAAATTCTTCTAATGTTTCCTGAACGTTCAGTAATGCTGTGTAAATGTTACCTTGCAATGGTAGCGCTCCCTAAACGTTGTGTAAATGTTACCATGCAATGGTAATGCTTCTCATTCATTCATTCATTCATTTTCTTTTCGGCTCAGTCACCACAGCGGAATGAACCACCAACTTATCGAGCATATATTTTACGCTGGGAATGCCCTTCCAGCTGCAATCCATCACTGGGAAACACCTAAGCGCAATCATTTACACTCATACACTACAGACTGTGGATGAAACTGGATCACCTGGAGGAAACCCACGTCAAGACAGGGAGAACATGCAAACACCACACAGAAATGCCAACTGACCCTGCTGGGACTCGAACTAGCAACCTTCTTGCAGTGAGACGATTGTGCTACCCATTGTGCCACCGTGCTGCCTCGGTAACGCTTCTTAAACGTTGTGCAAATGTTATCATGCGATGTATTTAAAATAACATTTCTGGAACATTCTTGGGAATTTTTGACAACAATCGAAAACGCTTATTAAATGTTGTGTAAATGTTATCACGCAACGTTATTAAAATACAATTTCCCAAACATTCTCGTAACATTTTGAGAACGTTTGAAAACCCTTCTTAAATGTTGTGTAATTGTGCCCCACTATGTTATTAAAATAATGTTCCTGGAACATTCTTGTAATGTTTTGAGAACATTTGGTAATGCTTCTTAAATGTTGTGTAAATGTTATCATGCAACATTAATAAAACATTTCTGGAACATTGTTGTAATGTTTTGAGAACATTCAGTGATGCTCCTTAAATGTTATGTAAATGTTATCATGGAACGTTATTAAAATAACATTTCTGAAACATTAGTGCAATGTTTTAAGAACATTCGGTAACGCCCCTTAAATGTTATGTAAATGTTTTCATGCAACATTTCTAACGTAATACAAAAAAAATGTTGACGTCAGATTTATATATATATATATATATATATATATAT